TCTCATCATCTTTTTAGCTCCATGCAAACTTATATATATATATATACAAACACTAGCATGAACGTTGTTGCATGCTCGTACGTTAGAGTGTTAACGTTCAAAAAATAAATAGGATAAGTTAATGTTGAAAACTCCTTCAAGTCTCACTAACTATTACAACCGTTAGGAGTACTTATATTATTTAATAATACTAATTTTAAGTCCAAAACTATTGTAACGTTATTACTTTGAGAGCTCAATAATCAACCATTTATTAACTTTGTATGGAATATATGAAAATATAAAATTGATTAATTATTAGATAATAGAGATAATAATTTTATATATTTTATTCATTTGAAATACTCCCAATTTTTTCAACAAGCAACTAAGCACAATAGTCACTAGCAGTTAGCACACGAATCTATTTGTGTATGATTTCCGAGTTTCTTAAATTGCATTTCGCAAATTACTAAAAAACTGAAATTAGTTTGTTGAATTGTTGTTATTTGTTTATTTATTTGAGTTGTTGAATTGATGATAATTATTGAATTGATTTTAGGTGTTGAATTGATAATATTTATTTTAGTATGTTGTAAATTACTGAAAACCTAAAATTAGTTTGTTGCAAGCATCCTTTATCATTCTTTGAATCCCATCATCCAGAAACACAATTTCTACTTTTTTGTGAAAATCACAGTGAGAGTTTGAGGCGACGTTGATCTCATACCCTCCAAGAATTTGCAAGTTAAGCATAAAAACTTGTAAAATTAAAAATGATTTTGAAAAGTAAAAGTTGGTAGTGTTTGGTAAAATAAGTGTTTTTTGTATAATAAAAAAAGTAAAAAGCATTTTTCACCCAAAAGACGGGAAACGCTTTTTTAAGTAAAACTAGTATATTACCCGTGCGATGCACGGGAATTTTACTCATGCGATGCACATGAATATATTAAAAAAATGATATTTTAAAATAATAAAGAGAAAATAATAAATAATACTGTTAGAATCCCACACCGGAAAAGTTTGAATCAACAAAGTGCTATATTAAGACATGAGTTACTCCTCCTATCAAGTTGACCTTTTTGGATGGAACCTCAGGTCTTAACATGGTATCAGAGCCAATTCCGGTTGTGATTTGATAGCTTGTTTAGCACCCATGATTACGAGTAGTTTGTTAAGGGTCTGTTTGGCCCATTTATACGCCCCGATATTATCCAGACCGGTTTGGGTTGAGGGGACGTGTTAGAGTATTTGTCTCACACCGAAAAGCTATAAAACAATAAACCACTATATAAGGCTTTGAGCTACTTCTGCTATCAGGTTGACCTTTTAGGATGGAATCCCAAGTATTAATATGGTATCAGAGCCAAACCAATCCATAACCATGGTGTGGGCCGCATTATGAAAAAATGACGACACAATTAAAAAAATGACAATAACGAACTGACGAAAAAATGACTGACGAAACGATCCAAACGAAGTGTCTCGTCGTGAGGAGGGTGTTAGAATCCCACACCGGAAAAGTTTGAATCAACAAAGTGCTATATTAAGACATGAATTACTCCTCCTATCAAGTTGATCTTTTAGGATGGAACTCTAGGTTTTAATAAATACCATCGTTAAAAAAAAATGATATTTTAAATTATAGCATGCAAAATTAATTACTTAACATGAAAAAAATAAACAACCTAATGTAAGTGTATATCAATATTTTGATAAATATGTAGTACTTCGTTCTTTTTTAAATGCAACGGTCCACTTTTCATGTTTGCCAACACACAAGTTTAACGATTAATATCTTTTATACCTTATTAGTAAAAAAATAAAAAATATATATTTTGAAACATTAAAATGAGAGCAATTTCAAAATATATTTTTTAAATTTAATATGTAATAAATTAAATAATAAAGTAGAGTCAAAGTAAAACATGTGAATAGTGAAAAAAATCCAATGTTGCATTTAGAAAAGAACGGGGAAAGTATAAATTACAATTACCGGATGTAAGTATGAATCAAAGTGAGGATTTTAAAAATCCAAATATTCTCTACTTCTGGCTTTCTTTTGTGAACCATGCAAACCATTTAAAAACCTGAGTAGCTTGAAAAGATGGTTTGAAATTTGAATAAATGTAATAAAAAAATGCATTACCCTATCACTGAAAAATATATTCATAGAGATGAAGTTACCTAGAAATTAGACCACATAATACCATATCATTTGAGAAACGTCTTGATTCCGATTTCAATTTCATCTCCTTTTCGTAAACCTCAATTTATAAGCTAAAAATATCCTCAGATTAAACCGTAACATTTTCTTCTACTGTTTTTCATTACTATTATTTTTTCTTGTGCATCATTTTTTAGACTTTAGTAAAATACAAAGCATAAATTAAGACGTCCTTCGGATATTGAATATTTAGTGTTCCAAAAATCAAAATTATTTACCTTGTTGGATTTGAGATTATAAGTTATATTGGTCATTCATAAAAAATAATTTCTTTCTTATTTAGTTGAGAAAAGTTATAGCATATGTGATTAAAATATGGACTTCTTATTAAAATTTTATTATAGATGTTTTTAATTGGTTTGAAATGATATGGTCTTATATGATCACCACACAAAAATTACGGGATTGACACGAATTGACCGGTGATTTCATGCCAAACTGCTTGTGACAAATTGTTTTTAACTCGGATTTAACATATCCCTATCACATCCTCTATGGATTTTGGTGAATCCCTACAAAAAAATCTACGTCAATTTCTTTACTTTTTATGTGGTGTGATAGATATTTTTCTACACGTTTTTAGTATTGTCTAATTCTTGTCAGACCCAATCTAATATGATCTCGTTTGATTTGATTTGATTTAGGTATTATAGGATTTCAAAGTGATCAGTCTACTCTAGTAAAACAAAGACGGTTGGGTTATGTTGTTTGTTTGGGTTTTTAGACTATTGGGCAATCTAATGATACTATTTTATACGGAGTATATCTTTTGTGCTAGAACTATAATTTCCTTTGTTACAGCTCTCACGTCATTCATAAAAAATGCATATTATTTCAAACTCGTTGATTTATTTTAATATAGTTAGAAGTATATGAAACTTTACTCCACACTTTAAATTAAAAAAAGATTTAAAATAAAGATTATAGTTTCATTCATACAATATAAAACATTGATTGTACACCAATAGTTTGAAATCTTATTTTAGTTCAACTCAAGTCGAAAATCTGAAATACACTATTCGTGTTACACAATTTTAACTCGAATAAGAAAAAGGAACACTCAAATATATCATTTTCTTTCTCCGCGATTATTCTTATTTTTCATCCACGCAATACCTCTTTCTTTACCAAACACACATATTCCACATTCTTGCATCACATAAATAAACCAACATCTATCTCTAAACGTGCACCGATCAACTAAACATTTCCGATTAATATAGCCCTTCCTTCCCGTGTTTCACTAATCGACTTATATTTCGTAATGAGGTAGAGTAAAGAGTACACTATAATGCATTTGATCTTTTTAAGTACATAAGTTCGAGTTTTTAATGTTAATTGAGTACACCCGTTAGATTAACACATTAATACGACTGAGTTGGCTAACAGAATGCTAATAGGTCGACGCTAGCCCCCGGTCGCTTGATCGACTTCCCCTCGGTCGAAGTTAGTCCCCTGCAGGTCGACTTCTCCTTGTTCGATGCATCCCTGCTGGCCGACGCCCCCCCGCAGGTTGACTTCCGAAGGTCGATTTTCCTTTTTTGTCGACTTCGTGAAGGTCGGCACCATAACCTCGGTCCATTACCCCTTCTTACTCGACATTCGTTAGCCAACTAAACTGTATTAACATGTTAATCCAACAAATGTACTCAATTAACACTAAAATCCCGAATTTGTATACTTAATTGACTCTTTCCTCATTTCGTAATCTTGATTTTTTTACAGATATGACTCTTCATCAGTTCATGATCTCCCCCCAAACTGCGAAGTAGAAATAGATTCTAGAACTCAGTTCCACCGGCAGTCTTTAGAAACAGTAGATATGGGGATGCAGCCCCAAAAATGATTAAAAAAATATTAGGCCCAATTAGGGGTGAGATTTTGGAATCGGGAACCGTTAAAATGGTTGGAACCGAACCGTTATAACCCGGTTCGGTTCCTACAAATGAGGTATTAGTTGTTAACGGTTCGGTTCCTAGTTGTTGTTAACGGTTCGGTTCCCGGTTCCTATAAAAAATATATGCACGGAACCGTTAAGGAACCGATATTAAAAAAAAATAGCAGCATTATTCGTAGTAATACTAATATAACAAAAATAAACACAACAACAACAATAATAATAAATGAATGATATTTAGCCAATAGTTCTAATTTAATCTAATCTATGCAAACAAAAATAATAAATATTTGCACATGGGGTTGTATACATTAAGCTCATTTTTACAAGTCAGGTTTTGTTCCATCAATAGGAGTAGAATGTAGTGATGCTTTTATATTTGTACATGCAAACGAAATGTATTTCTAAGTTTTGAGAGACAAAAAGTGTACTCATATCCTTGTCACTATAATGATGAGCAACCTTCATTTTAACGACATAACCAACGATTTTTATATTTTATGTATTAAATGAAAATTAAAATCTTCTTTTTATTCTATTAAGTGTTCACTTAAGTTTGAGCTTTGATGTTTGGAGAGATTAGAACTCTAAATAAATGTTTATGACTTGTTGACTTTTTAACGTTTTCATGTGGTAGAAGCCAAACTATGTGTAAATTCTTACACGAAAAAAATTATTCTAGGAACCTATATAAGCAAGAACCTAACCATTTAGTATTGATTCGATTCCATATCGGTTCTTGATTTTTTATATAGGAACCGAACCGATTTCATTTGTTAAAATTTAAATAACGATTCCACTATTTTTTAGTAAGAAACTAAAAGTTCCCCGACCTAGGCCCAATATTCTCGTCCAACAAACCAAAGGTCCAATATTAATTAAAGGCTTGAGGAAGCCGAGCAAACATCTCTGGAGTCGGGATCCATCGTCATCTATCATCCACAAACGGTTGAACGCTCCGCCAAGTCGCCGATTCTCTCAGCGGTTTCATCCTCCCTCAGACGCCAACAAGCAGCACATCAGCAGAACCGCAGCACGCCTCTTCAGTCGTCAACTACTCACATCACTCCCGTCGCTCAGTCGCCTGCTCTCCGCCACTCAGCCTTCAGCGGCTCAGTCAATCGGCGCTTCCCTCAATTTTCACATCCAACCATTCGTAGTCCCGGTATTTCTTCAGTCCTCTTTTATTGATTAGCTCAATAATAACTTAGTTCATTGTTTTTTTTATAAATATTTAGTTAAATACTTAAATTAGTAATATCTTTGTATGTCTAAACCTAAGAAAACCGAGAAACTCATTTTGATTTTCCCACGCGCGTCACCAGAACGACAGAACCATTCAGAAAAAATATGAGATAACATATCTTTACCTAAGATCTCAAAATGGCAGAAATTTACGAATGTTTTTATTTTCAGAAAACTTGCCACTCTGCCGGTCAAAAATCATTTGAAAAATAGGTTAGCCTTAAAGTGGGTTTTTTGTATATTTGTTTTTTGAGAGGTTTTTATTTTGGTTAGAAAATAATTGGACTCGTTATAACTTTATATCATTATCATTTAATTGTTGTACCCAACAACTGGATGTCGTTTTTCTGGTGATCAAAATTAAACATGAAAAGCGTATTCAATGGAGCATATTTCTATAATTCTTTGATTCGTATTTTGTTAAGGAACCCAATTTATGTGGAATTTGTTTTCATAATCTAAGCTTTGTGTACCCTTCAATTTATGTACCCAGTAATATGAAACTTAAGTACCAGCAGTAGGGTTGAAGGCAAATATATGGAAGTAGTCAAATTTGATCACAAAATGATACTGAAAAAAGTATAAAATTCTCCTAGTTTCTCTACTACGTATTTTGGCTTATTACAAATTTAATCCGTAATATAAGTTTTACAATTTTTATATAAGAAAACCAAGTTATTAATTTAAGATTAGTTTTTTTTTAATTACAATTTTTTGAAGTAATTTTTTTTAAATGTCCAATTGACCAAAGCACATTTTTAAGATTCATTAAGAAACTAACCTCAATATACTCTCAATTGGCTTAAATCTGTTTAAATTTTGAACAGAATGTATAAAAGAAAATATTAAAGAAATCATTCATTATGTAAAGCTTAAATGAATGTAGAGATGATTATTCATCACTCATCAGGAACATCTTTAAAACCAACGACATATGTGAGGCTTATAGAGTTATATTGGTCATCTTTAGCTTTTAGATAATGCTTCTTATGAAATTCAAAAAGTCAAGGTTTATTATGTAGCCTTTAATTGAAATGCATCCACAGTATTTATTCATCGAAAGCTACATTGGAAGAGTTTCTAATTGAAGAATTCCACATTGAGAACATGTTAGGAGTCTAGAAGAATACTTCAAAATGGCCTCCAAGCCTCACTCCATATGTAATTGCATTAATTCTTGAACCTTGAGAAGACAATTATTTAGTTTAAATTGTTTACACTCTGTCTGCATGTACTTCGAGAAGCACAACCTAGGGGAGAACAATACCATATTATATACTCCGTATAACAAAGAATACAAAAATTAATTACTAATGCTATGGAAAAAGATGTACACATCTCGGTGAATCCAAAAGGCTAATGCAATTAAATGCTTCGAGAAGCTCAAGACACAATATTTAAATCTAGCAGTCTTTTTATTCATCCAAGACCTAGATAAATGGAAAGACATCATTGCAACCGAACATTTTCTCTTTCTTCCTTTATGTCACTCGGTATTTTATATGTAGGTGCATCCATAGTATTAAAGAGTTCTAGAACAATTGAAATACAATAATCCTTAATTAAGTGATTAATTGTTTGGCGTGAAAACTGCTGCCATGCAACGGTGCAACTTTCTTATTTTCTATGTACGTTTTTTTCCCGCCCAACACCCCTTGTCCTCCCTCCTTGGGACTTTTGTGTTTTACTATATTATATAGATTTCATCTCTATGGTTGTATATGTCTGGTTTAAAGTTATTCATTAATTTTAAATCCTTGATTTTTAATATGATTGTGAGAAGCTTTTAAATATTTTCTAATTTATCATAAGATTGAACAACTGAATGAGTGATTACTGGCTGAATACGAATGAGTGATGACTGGCTGAATTGTTAGATAGACAATGCAAGCCAATTGTTACAATACCCGGCTGCCATGTTTGCTCTGTAATTTATACTCCCTTCATCCCTCTAAAAGTTTCTAATCCCTATATTGTGGTTCCCCAAAATAAAGTACTCTTTCCTTATTCGGTAAAGGAGTTCTCATCAATTTACTATATAGTCTGTATTAAAACTTCCTTCAATAAAAAAAGCATTGGGGATGTCAAAGAAAAAAGATTGGAATTTCTTAAACCGGTGAAAGTCAACCTAGGAACTTCTTTAATGGACAAAGCTTCTAAGGATGGAGGGAGTATGAAACACATAATAACTAACTCTAACAAGATTTGCATATTTTTTTCAGCTGTCCATAAGAATATTTCGAAAGACAAGAAACAGTTAAGTATGATTAGAGGAGGGAGGAATCTAGTCTCTTCATCACCAGCGTTCTCAAATGATGGGAAGAAGCTCCTTGTATGCACTGCCAACACCGTGTCTATATTCAGCACATTCACTGGTTTACAGGTCCCTCTTAACTTTGTCCTTAATAAATTTACCGTGAGTTACAGAGAAGTCTTATTCATCCATGTTGCTCTGCAGATTGGTGAGCTGGAAGGTCATACAGCTTTGGTGACATCGGTGATTGTTGTGCCAGCAACAACACCAGCGAGTAAAATACTGTGCTATTGCTGGACGGCATCACTTGATGGGACAATTAGATATTGGGACTTTTCAGCGCCTGAATTGATGAAGACTGTTAATATTAATGCCCCAATACATTCCATGGTATTGTGATATATGAACAATGTTTACTTCTTAACTGAGACTATTGATGTTGCCAAGTAAATAAAAAATTGAGTCTTATAATATGCGATTCTTTGGGTTTTTGGTGAGATTAAATGAAGTAAAACAATTCTTCTGTGCAATTAATTAAACGTCTAGATTTTCATTTACGTTGTGAGTCACGCTTCCACCCTGATTTCTGTTATAAGTATCTTTTTCTTTATTGATATTCTCAGGTGATTCCAGGACTAGCATGTCAAACTCCAGAGAGCACTGAAAGATCTATGGATCTTTTTGCTTATATTTCTTGTCAGGACATGAATAAAAAGGATGGGCAAGCTCCTAGTTGGCAGATACAAAAGTGTAACTTAACAAAGTTCCGTCTGAGTGGCGGTGTGGTATTGGCAAAGGTGTGCATGGAAATACCATACTTTTGCATTGTAATCTGGAATTGTACTATATCACAATCTCTGAGTCCTAATGCTGCGTGTCTTTATGTTATGTTAAAATTTCACTTTATGTATTTCTTGGGGTTTTCAGAGTGAAAGACCACAGTTAATCACTGTCAGCCCCAGTGGAAAGTATTTTGGCTTCTGTGAAAAGCGCAAAATCCGCATTTGGAAAGTCCCAACAAAAGAGTCTGATCATGCCGTACACAAAACAATCAGATTGCATCATACCAAAGAATTAAAAGTTCTAGCTTTTCATCCAACTGAGAGAATTGTAGCTGCAGGAGATGCTACAGGAAGAATTTTAATATGGAGGCATTTTGGTGAAAGAATGTTTTCTGTTACTGAAAAACTGGAAAATGGAGATGCAATGATGGTTGAAGAGAGACCTGGAGTAAGAGGGGATGACGATGCTGATTCGTGCACCACATGGCATTGGCATTCTGCAGAGGTGAAGGTCTTGTTTTTATCATCGGACGGTGCCTATCTCTACTCAGGTATAAACAATAAACTTTGGGTATTGTTTATGAAAAATATGAAGAGAAATATATCAAATCTGCATGTATCATGTTATGGCCTATACCTAAGTTGATTTTAGCCAGTAGTTTCTCTGCGACTGGTAATATGTTTTGCTGCTTAATGCAATGGAATTTCTAATTGATCAGGTGGGAAAGAAGGTGCTATTGTTGTTTGGCAGCTAGGTACAGGAAAGAAAAAGTTCGCACGAATAGGAAGTCCACTTTCATATTTTACAAGCTCGCCTGATCCTTCAGTATCTTCAGTAAGAAAATATCTGTACATAGTTTATAGTTATTACTAAATTATCTAGTACTTAGTTTTTTGTTCAGGTTTCTTGTGCAGATAACGCACTTCATCTGCTTAAAACACCGTCTATGGAAATACTGAGGTCCATATCAGGGATCAAGGTTTGTATCATGCTATTCTCTCTCAATAATAAAAGAAACATGAGAAGAAATGTAAAAGGCTTGAATTTGACCTGATTTTTGCACTGAAAACGTGTGCTTTTAAGAAAATAAAATCTCAATTGAATTATACTCCCTCTTTCCCAATACTGTGTTCCTACATCTCTTTTCTCTATGTAAAAAAAATTCTTCTCATTTCCTTTTATGGAATGATATGTGTGGTTTATCTTCTTTTTACATTAACCACAATCATACAATTTCACTTTATTTATAAGTGTGCCATGTTAAACCGGGAAGAAAATTTGGGATGAAGGGAGTAAATTATATATGCTTAAATGCAATCTATTTATTACCTCTATCCTGTTGAACAAAATTTTCAGCTTCCAAGTTCAGTGTTGGAGATATATAATGGTCCGTGCCATGACTCTGTCTTTGATTCTACTGCTGGGACAGTTGCAATTCGTACAGAAAATGGCTGCATCCAATTCTTTAGCCTGTTGGATGACCGTGAAATTTCACTGGTAGGCAATGTCTAAAATAAAAAGATTTTTTTTCATTTGATTCTTTATTTCTATTTCATTAGTGTTAAGTTTGATTGTTTTTCAACATGCTTGCACGGTACAGTAAACTAAAAAGTTAAAACAGTAATAAATTTATAGAGCACACATGAACTAATTATGTCTAATTGGAAATATATTTTGAAAGGTAAAATATGATATTTAATCCCAGAATTATATGCTAATTGCAAACTCAGTCCAGATACCATGCTGGTGGTGGTTATCTTATAGTCAAATAGGAGCCTCTTCTGACCCTATTTTAGGCCTAAAGTTATCATTCTATAAGCCAAATAAAAAAGTTCAAGGCTCAATTTGGCATTTTATGACCCAAGCTTCTGGTCAAACCTACGAATAAAACAAGTGATTTTTACCTTTACTGCTTCTGTGGAAGACAGATTAATTCTTAGGTGCATATAGCCTTGAAGTGGCTTGAGAAAGTTTTGCTCCTCTTTCCCAGGGTAGACTCCCCACAATAATAAAGTTATCCAGCTTATCGCTAATTGACATTTTGATGATGCATTTAGTGGAGATGATGATTCAGTATTAGGTTTCCATTAATTCTGGACAGAAAATCTATTACTCAAAGTGGAAAACGCGTTTGAAGACTATTGCATTTCCAGATCTGGTATTCCAGATTCCCTCCACCCTTTTGTTTGTTCTTTTTAAGTATCAATCTCCTCTCCATCCTATATTTCTTTCTGAAGCCTTATGCGAAAGAGAGTACAGAGCTTCGTTCACTCAGCAAAGTTATTTCAACGAATTGCTAGAACAAGGGAACCAAATATTATTCCTACTAGTGCCATAAAATATTCGTTGAAACTTGAAAGTTTTACTTTACGCACAAAATCATCCAGTCTTGATCCTTTTCAAGTGTGGAAAACACTGAAGTGTTTGACTTGTTGGGTACCTGAGGAAACTGAAGAATTAGGGTTTGATCCCCGTGCTCAAGACTCCAAGAGTACATGCATGTCTGTACAAAAAGAAGGGAGACTGACTGAAGACATTATGAGGTATTGCCTCAAAGAAGAGTCCCCTATTTAAAGATAAGAGAGTAAAGAAAACTGAGGCAGCTTAAGTTTACCAGGGGTGATCTGCCTGTGTTTCCAATGAAGATGGTGGCAGCTAAAAGCTGTTGAAATTGCTGCGAGATAACTCTTATACAAAAAGAGGTATCTCTGTAAAGAGTAACAGAGTTTCATTTCACTGTTAAAGACTCCCTATTTATTTACTTGAAACATATTTCATTTTTGATTTTTTTTACTTGAAACAATTTCCTATTTTGGTAAGTTTTCATTTACAATATATCAATACCCTTGCATTTTCAGCTTCTCTTTCATACTTTTTCTACTGGACTAATTTTTACATTTTTTTCTATACTATTTACTACCCTACTAAACTCTGTGAAAACCCTATAATTGCAAGTAAATAAAGACGGAGGGAGTATGAACCAATCTCATTAGTCAATCTTCTAGCTCCTTCACTCTATTTAGTCGGCCTATTGTTAAAACAACAATTATAACCCTAAAGTTGTAAAAGTTAAAGTTTGAAGAAGATCATGTTTTATTTTAGGATTCTATGACATGAAGGGAGACTTTTGTAATAACGTTACAAGACCTAGGTTAATCGCAACTAAAGTGACATTTTGAGCCCGTTTGGTAGCACGAAAATCGGCTGTTTTGGCTGATTCTGCTGAAATTTATGAAGTTCTGTCTGATTCTGCTGATTCAAGAAAAAAATATTTTAAAAATATATTTTATTAATAAATTAAAGAAAAAATTACATGTAAAAATAGCTAAAATGGTCCTCTGCAGTAACTTCAGCCAATACAGCCAGAAAAGTAACTCCAACCTTACTTTTTCTGCTTATTACACAATTCAGCACACGAAAGTAAAAGTTACGTGTTTGGTGAAAAGCTGGCTGATAAGCCTGATAAGCCGAAAAAAGAGGTCTCCATACGGGCTCTTTGAGGACTGAGTCGAATTAAAATATTATTGAGGGATCATAAATAAGTTAATATTGTGAACAATTTTTACATGGGGGATATCATGTTAGTCCTACTGAAGACTTAGTATGCTGTAATGGTATTTATTCTGCTAAAGAATAATCATGTAAGTATGTAACAGTGGAGTGAATCGTTGTGTCACAACATGTTTGCATTCTTGCTGGGATGGGAGATGATGTGGATAGGACCAGGTTGACGTTTGATATAATAAATATACCTGTATTTCACCAGCTCCTAACAGTTGTTTTTCTGGCGATTTACATTTTATAGGTTCAAGTCTGTGAAAGAAATCATCAACCAGGTGATGAAATCAGGGTACATATCTTCCAGTTACTTTGCATTCGTCACTGATGATGTGTTATGTTCCAGTCATTGTTTTTTGTGTGTATATGTTTTGATGTAGAATGTTAATCATGTACTGTCTTGAATTTATTTGTTAATTACTTTTACCTCTCAGGCTGGGTAAAATAACTTCCCCCCTTGTGTTTTTATTCAACTAATTAGGAGGCATAGTTATAATTAGGAATTTTATCAAGTCAAGACATGAAAGATAAGTTAGCTATCAATTGAGGACTTGAAAAATGAAAATTGTCGATACAGGGCCCTAATGGTTGAAAACTATCCATCAAAGACTTTTTTATTTTTAATTTTTTTAAAAAATATTTAACTTTATTAATCTAATAGACTTTTTTTATGTTCTTTATCTTTCTTATGCTCTTACGTTATTTTTGTCTTTAATCTTTCTTATGTTCTTTTATCTTTATATTTATCGTTATCTTTATCTTATCTTTTTTTTAATCTTAACTTATCTTTTTATTTTTCTATCTTTCTTTTCGTTTTGGTTCTTATATCATGGATTGATTCATGTTAGCCGACCCCAAAATCTTTTGGGAATAAGACTTGAACGTTGTTGTATTAATCTAATAAACTTTTGTAAAGAAAAAACATCAAAACTTTGCAATAAAATAAATAAAAAATGAAATGAATCAAATCTATAATACTTTTGGTCTTTGATGCTTTTCGATCATTCGGCCCTTGTATCGACAATTTTCATCTTTCAGGTCCTGAATTGATAAAATTCTTTTACCTTGTTAATAATTTGATGAAACTTGAGGTGTAATTAGTTATGTTTTTGAAGCATATGGTAAAAAAGTTATTTTGACCAGACCTGGGAATCGTCTCATGAAGTTTGCTAACTTCTTTACAGATCACAGTGAATATGGTGGCTCTCTCTCCAGATGGCTGTACCATGAGTACTGTAGAGACTAGGCTACCTGAAGAAGGAATTGGAGGCCTCATAAGTCTAAAGTTCTGGACAAGTGGCTCTGAAAGCAAAGGCTTCAGCTTGTCCACTGTTATATATGAACCACACAGGTTTTACTTTTCTTTTAAATATAATGGCACTTAAGATTCTTTTAGAATCTTAATTCCTTGAGAATGGCACTTAAGACTTCTTGCTATGTTTTCTATAGGGATGCTGGAGTTTCTGCAATTACTTTTCGTCCTACGCATAGCATGGCCGTAAGCTCATCATATGGTGCTGACTTCAAAGTGTGCATCCTTCTGTTGCTCATATAGTGTCTACTTCAAAAGTAACTGTGTTCATAATATTTATAGTGGTTACTATTTTCAATATCTTTGTTTGGCAGATCTGGGCTTGCAATAGTGGTGTTCAACTTGGAGATCAGATGAATAATGGTGGATGGACATGCCATGCTGTTGGTTCATACAAGTACAATTGTTACTCAGTCGCTTTTTTTGCCATAAAAAATAGTCACCCTTTTTTGTAGGATTTTAGATGACTGCTAAGAGAAACGTCACTAGTTTAACAGTTTTGTGGTGGGTAGAAAGCTATTAAACTGTAATCATCATCATCATCATCATTACCCCAGTGCCGCAAAGGCTCCCACCTACGGTGGGGTAAGGGGGGATGGATGCACGCAGTCTTACTACTCTTACCCCTGTACTAAAGCACAGAGAGACCATTTCCGGTTGACCCACAGTGAAAATCGCGTCAAAAATTGCATGAACTGACTGCTCTTTCATAACAAAGAAGCACAGACAGTTTAGTGAGCCATTTTGCTTTAATCCATCATATTATCAAGCCAAAAAATAGTGAGTCTTTGTCTCCATTGCAAATGATGGAAAAATTAAAGCGTTTGTTGAGGTATGACAAACGAACCCTTTTTGGTTTACTTTTCATGTATTACTGTAGGCTGCTTCGCGGGGTTCCATTTATATCTTTTATTATACCGCACAAGTTAGATATCAACTATTGCGTAAATATTGAGTTGCATGGTTGTAAGTATTCACATGATTAGCGATTTTCAGTTGACGGCTGATATTGAAGCGATTCATGTTTTTATTTGCATATAATTTTAACTAAATTTCTACAGAAACAAGCCGATGACAGCCGCTGCGTTTTCTGCTGATGGTTCTGTTCTTGCTGTTGCTGCAGAAAGAGTTATTACTTTGTGGGATCCTGACAGGAATGTGCTTGTGGCTACAATTGGAGAGAGTTTTGATGTAAATTATCTTAACATGAATTGAATTAATATTATCACTACCTTGATAGGGTCTTCTGAACCATTTTTCCAGCTATTAAGATCCCCATTGCCCCATAAGATTTGTCATAGTCAACTAAGAATTTTGTGAGATGGCCATGAGTTGGTTAGAAACTGAAAGATATAATGGGATACATCACACTTTCACAGAGAACTCGCTTAGATGTATAGATGCTCTAGCAGTATTGGTGAGCTTTAAGACAATAAAAACTCATTAGTAACTAGAAGACATATCATGTACGCAGTAATCTTCTACATAACCGTGCTTCAACACACTGATATATATTCTTCTGTTGACAACCCATATTTTTACATGCCAGTTTTTTGAGTAATCTCATCTGATTTTTCAAAATTTTTGCAGCCAATTTCATCACTGTCTTTTATTGGGAAGTCAGAGTATCTAGTATCATCATCAAAAGGTTCTAATCCACAGTTGTCTGTTTGGAGTATGACAACACTATCTGTGTCCTGGTCTTACAAGATCCACGCAGAAGGTTCAATTCATTTTCTTATTCCTTCATCATTTCAAGTGTAAAATAATCAGCTTTATAGTTTGAAAATATTTATGCATGCTTATCTGAATTACCTTTGTAATTTATCTACAGCGGTATCATGTGCTGTGGATGGCTCGTCTTTTGCTGTACTTGCACTTCTTCCTGATTCAGCCAGGAAAATTGCTTCTTCCAATGAAGCATCATTGAAGGGTGTCGATGGGGTAGTTTTATTGTATAATGCAGAAAGTCCTGTTCCTTTGGCTACTTGGTTTGTAAAGAAGGTATGAATTTTTGTATGGATTTTTTTTTGTTTCCGTTATTGATCTCTATCAAGTAACCATTGAAAATTGATTTTATATTGTTAATTTTTTAAAGTATTTTGATAATATTATTACAGGCTCAAGGTGGAGGGATTGGTTTTATTCTTCGAAGTGATGAAACAGAAGATTTTGCAGATAGAAAACAATTGCAGTTATTGTGCTACATAAAAAGTGACAAAGAGTATGTTCTCTTTGACCCATACAGTGAGCAATTTCACGAACAGACAATTACTCAGAGACAAAGGTTTGCTCACTCAGAAGAAACTGGTAATGCATCTACCGTACCTCCTTTTTGATAAGGACAGGGACAGCTAATAATAATAAGAATAATAGAGTATTATTAAATAGTGTTATTGTATAAATAAATGTTTTGGGCCTTGTGATTAGGAAGTCTGGGCCGGTCCTTAAGAATAGAAAGTATATAAAAGGGGGGAAAAGGGAGGAATAGGCGGGCAGATTTTGGATTTGGGAATAGGACTGGGAGAGACGAGGCACTCTCGAACTTGCCTCAACTGTATCGTTACCTTCCCGTTTCTTCAATTTCAGTTTCATATTCCAACAATTCAACCTCAGATTTTCTGTGTTCCTATCATTGGTATCAGAGCATCAACTATCGCTGGAGACTGTTAAGATTGCGCAGATGAACTTAGCGATGGAAAAAGTTGCGATGAACTTGGTGATGCTACAGGAGACAATCGCGAAGAGCAACAGTAACCAAAATCGACCGAGGAATCCGTCGTTCACAACGCACAGCTCGCAGCACTCTTCGCATCGCCAATCGCTAACCAGTTCACAGGAATCGCGAACTGTTCCTTCGCATCGCACTTCGCGACTGGTAGACGCGAGACATTCTGATCAGTCTCGTTCTGGTGTGAATCGCGATAAAAGTGGTCAACGATCGCGATCGTCGCACAGTCCAGTACATTCCAGAGATAATTCCGCTAACCCTAGTACTCATGCTCACCATCGTAACCATGATTTTGCGAGAATACCTGTACGTATGGGCCCGAAAATTGACTTACCATTGTTCAATGGTGAGGGAGTATACAACTGGATTCTTCGAATGGAGAGATTTTTTCGACTTAATCATATCGAAGAAGAAGAGAAGGTTGAAGCTTCTAGGGTTGGGATGGAAGACATAGCTTTGAAGTGGTATCATTTGTGGGAGAACCAGACAGAAGAAACAAGTTGGGAGGCTTTGAAGAGATCTATTGTTCGCAGATTTCAACCAGAGTTGCTTCAGAAGCCATATGGACCGATACTCAGTTTGAAACAAAAGGCAACAGTAAAGGAATACAGAGAGGAATTTGAAAAGGTAATGGCGCCTCAACTGAATATTGACAATGATTTGTTAAAAGGTATTTTCATTACAGGATTGAAGGAGGATATAAAAGCGGAAATGAAATTGTATTCATCCAGATCTTTAACTGAGATCATGGATAAAGCAATACTTATTGAGCAGAAAAGTGATACAATTTCTGGGAAAAGGAAAGAGGAGGAGAAGTGGTCTGGAAAAGAAAAGGGACCTGCAACAGTGAAATCTCAGAATTGGGGGGAAAGTTATAAAACCAATTCTGGCAATTTTTGGTCAAATCAGGAACGAAATTACCACAGGGGCCATCCAAGTTATAATGGAACAAGGAGGGAGATGGAATTACCTTCTTTCAATGGTGATGACGCTTTTAGATGGATGGATAGGATGGAAGATATTTCTGTCTCTATGCTATTACAGAAAAAGATAAGGTTGATGTCGCAGCTGAGGCTATGGAAGAAAGGGCGTATCACTGGTTTGAATGGTGGGAAACTCAAATGAGAGACAAGAGTTGGGAGACTATGAAGGAAGCCATAACGCGGCGTTTCCAACCTACAGGCATGCGAAAGACAGAACGCCAGGAATCACACTCGCGAAATTCTTACAGTCCATCTTCTGAAGTCCTCATACGTTCGCTGAAGTCTTTGCAATCACACTCACGAAATTCTTCTTCTCCAAGTGAAACGAGATTGGCAGGAGGTTTCAATTCACAAGTTTGGTCTAAGTCACAAGCAACTCTCCCCAGTTCTCCGGCCTTGTCGGGAGCTGACTCTCTCAGTTTGGGTCAAAGTACGAAGCCTTCGAGAAGAGAATCTTTCAGTTCTCAGACGATACCTAACAAAGATGAGGTATTCAGGAATCAAGGACACAGCCGAACCAGAAGAGAGATAGAGCTGTCTCTAGTCAATAAAGAGGAGAAATCGGCTGTGGTGACTCAATCCTCTATCTCCATAGATTATGAATCTGTAGTTGATAAATCGGCTGGTTCAAACACTTGGGAGAGCTCTACAGGGACTGTTCACATTGAAGAAACTGAGGAAATAGAACAAGGAAATGAGGGAAGGAAGCTTCAGGGAATCATCAGCGCAGACACTAATGCTACTAGAAGATATGGTCAAGGAGTTGGTCAAGTTGAAGCTGCTGGGGAGATACTTTATCACACAGTATACAATTGCAGAGACGGAATTACTGACCACAACCAGGATTTCAGAGTAGAAATTCCTGCCTGGGATTCATCACTTGATACCAAACCTGAGAAGCCTAAACCGGATGACTTGAAGGCACTGAAATTATTCATTGATGGAGGAGCCGGGCTCGCGGGAAGGCTCACTTACAGAGATGAATTGGTAGACTTGACCAGACAGTCATTGTCCAAGCTTGTAAATCAGATCTACATTGATGCAGTCATTGTTTTCATAGAGAAGGAAAATAATGAGGCAGCGTGGTTTTCGTCTTTACCTCTGGCGAACAGTGTTGCTGAAATCTATAGGGAAGAGACACGGTTGCTGGGAGATTCAATCTTTTGCAACCTAAGGGAGCACTCTGCCACCATGACTTGGTTTCTACTAGCTTTTGAAGGGAAGAACAATAAGATTCAGCCTCAAGTACTGAAGTTAAAGGCCCAGAAACCCGGGATGTATTGGGAAGGAAGAGGCATCAGAAAGAAGATGAAGTTGCAGATCAAGGCTGTTTCCTATCACCCACCTTGAGGACAAGGTGGTTGTTCAAGGGGGGAGATATGATAAGGACAGGGACAGCTAATAATAATAAGAATAATAGAGTATTATTAAATAGTGTTATTGTATAAATAAATGTTTTGGGCCTTGTAATTAGGAAGTCTGGGCCGGTCCTTAAGAATAGAAAGTATATAAAAGGGGGGAAAAGGGAGGAATAGGCGGGCAGATTTTGGATTTGGGAATAGGACTGGGAGAGACGAGGCACTCTCGAACTTGCCTCAACTGTATCGTTACCTTCCTGTTTCTTCAATTTCAGTTTCATATTCCAACAATTCAACCTCAGATTTTCTGTGTTCCTATCACTTTTTGACTTGCAAACTTGTACTTGTGATAATTTATGGCATGGTTGTCCAGTTGTGATCTTCACTTACACTTATGTGATGCTCTCCTTTTATATTGTTTTCATATTTTAAAAATAAATTATAAACATACCTCCCTTACCCCCCACCCACATCTGTAAAGATAGAAGCAGAAACATGTTGCGATTAATCACTAATTTTCGATGTGAAATGTTTATATCTACAGGGAGGTTTGGGTATGCATCTATGTATGGGGAATTAGCAGAGTTTCACCTAAAGCCAAACCAAACTTCACTGGACTCATCATATTTACCATCAGAAAGGCCTTGGGAGACATTATTTAGCGGCCCATCTCATGCTCTTCCTCCTCTTCCCAAACTGTGCTCAGCTTTTCTCGAATCATTACTCGAGAGGAGGACAACAGCTGTGGAGTGAATCTCTCCCAACTTCAGTTTTTATCGTGGTTTTCTGATGTGAATTCATCTTCAGTTGCTTTCGTCATGACTGCACTGAGAACCCCAGAGATTCAACGGGAGCAGTGCACTCCCCAAAACGTGAAGTAACAACCGTCAATGAGGTCATGTTGCTGTTGTACCCCAATTTTGTTATCGTCTTATTATAGACACTTGTCCAAAAATCACATGTTGACAAAATCATATTTAGGCATTGTAGTTTATTTAATTTTCTTGTAGTCGGATAATGGTCAGGAGGATTTGAAAGGCATGATAACAATTAGTATTTCCAATGTTTGTAGTCAATCTATCCACTTGATTTGGCTGATAGTAGTAAATCGTTTACGTTTTCATAAATTGTTCATAAACTTATCCACCTGTCATTCATTGAATGAAAATAACAAAAAAAGGATGGTTTAAATGCGGTTAGATGAGAATGATTATGATTTAGTTCACGATGGCCTCTTTGAATTAGAAGGCACTTTACTGGGACGTTCATTGACAAAAGCTGCAGGCAGTTTGAGATAATCGAGTTACCTAGGATGCAAAAAGGATCTTCACCTTGATCTATGAAAATTATGAATTGGTGTTTAAAGGAGGCGTCCTGGCCCTGCAGGACTGTCATAGATGACTTTTCGTTTATTTAGTCGACCACGTCCTGGCCCTGCAGGGCTGTAATAGATACTTCCAGGCTGTAATAGTTTTTGTTGTTTTTTTGTTGTTGATGGTACATATTGCAATTGGTTCTGTGCAGGTTGATTTTTGGTCCAGTGATGGATCAAGGAAAGACTGTTATTGAGAGTATAAAGACTCATTTACTTATTTCTCCTTTTTTGCTTTATGTTTTCATGTTTCAGATTTTCATTTTCCAAATCTGAACGCACGTTTTCCCTTTGTTTTTCATTTCATTTTTCAAAATCATAAAGTAATTATATACATCTAAGAATTGAAACATGATAGAACTGAAGGCATAAAAAATGACAAATATTATCTGACACCGTTAAAAATTTAATATGTAATGTAAATAAAATTTAATATGTAATGTAAAATAAAGTACTCGTATTAGAAACATTTGAAATAAGACAACATTTACATGAATGATAATCCACGAACAAGACTTAATATGTGACATTTTTAATAACAAGCTATATTGTCTTTGAAAAATAATTAGACGACACCAATAATATTTTGATGTGAAAATTACGGATCAAAGTTTGTGTTAGAAATTTATTTTTAAAGTCATGCGTTTTTTCATAACATGTTTGAGTAAATAAATTTAGTAATATCTTTTAAGCCACATGTTTTTTCATGTTCTACGGATCATAGTTGGTATTATAAACTTATTTATTTTGAGGAAAAATTAGATACATAAAAGTAAGTTACTCCCTCCATCCCAAAAATAACTTCCCACTTTTCTTAAATGAATGTCTCAAAATTAACTTCACACTTCTTCCTACTTTCTTATTTGGCAAATTATCTACATCAAAATAGTGTCAAACAGTGTTGAAACAGTATCAAACAGTGACAAACACTTCATTTTTCTTTATATGTGTGGAAAATGAAGTGTGAAGTTGTTTTTGGGACGGAGGGAGTATTAAACTCTAGGGCTAGGAAGTGGAGGTGTTGTGCCTAGATATGGACTCGGGCTGGGTGGCCCGACCCGGAACCGGCCCGGGACCGATACTGTTCCGGCCCGGCCCGACCCGGTGGCCCGGTCAGTGACCGGTCCGGGTAGACCCGGTCAGTGACCGGTCCGGGTAGGCCCGGCCTGTGGGTTTTCCGGTCCGGGCTCGGGTCACCCAAAACAAGGCCCGACCCGGCCGGGCCCGGTTCGGGCCAAAAACAATTTTTTTTCAATTGTTTTTAAATATTCGGGTTGGGCTGGGTATTTTGGGCCATTTGGGGTGGTTTGGGGGGTTGGGGGTGGGAGGGGGGTTAATTAGGAAGAGGAAAACAAAAAAAAATATAATGGGCCCGGCCCGGCCCGGACCGGACCCGATGGTTACCCGGGCCAGTCCCGGGTCCACCATTTTTGACCCGCCGGTCCGCCCGGGCCTAGGCCCGACCCGGACCCGGCCCGGACCCGAGTCCATACCTAGTTGTGCCCTTTCCTTTGCTTTTTCGTCTCAACCAGCTTGAAGGGCAGAAGGAGCATCACATTTTGTCATTTTCCTGTGCTTTCAATGTTTTAGAGATTTATTTTTCTCACTAAGAAGGTCGGACGAGAATTACCCTTTACAATACAAAGTTTATAAGGAAGTTAAAAAGTGGTCTGTGCACTGGTATGAGTGGTGTTTTATTCCCTAGAATTTGTAGGGTTCTTCTTCTGCCAATTTTGGCAGTAATTCTATGGGTGATTTCTTCTCATATAAATGATGCAAGTCCTTCAAGAGTGTTATGTTATTGTTCAATTGCTATATATGTTATCATCAAATTTTAGATATGTTTTTCTCAAATCCCTTTATGCTTCTCAACCCATCTATGACGACACCGTTGATCTGCCTCCTTCAGAACCACCGTCACAGGAGAAAAGCGTAGTATGGGATTTTTATCAAACTATTAAGTACAAGATTAGAATAAATGTCATTATTTTTCAGACAATTGAGACATATCTGCAGGTCCAATGGAATCAAGCTACGACGCGACATAACTGGAAACCGATGGCTTGTTGCTTTATTATTTTCTTACGTCGGTTTTTTATATAGTTTTGTCTATTTCAGTAATCCGAATTACTTTTTTATTTATCCGTTTTGATTTTAGTAGAGTTGTAAGTTTGTTAAATCATGATAGAAACATGAAGATTTATATGGTGATATTAAGTTTAGTTCATCCATTACATGGTTAGCGACTTATGCGGTTCGTTTATGGGTGGCAGAGTCAAAGTCTGATCATTGGGCTTATGCATGAGGTTGTTATGATCTTGAATCTATTGTATTGTTGCTTGATTTATTAATTTTAATATAGATTATTTCCATTCAAAAAAACACTAAAAACGTTAAAATAGATTTTCTTAATTTGATAAAAAAAATTATTCAACATACACTTTGCATAGATCTCGAAAAATATGTGGTTTTAAAAACATGTTGGCCCTCATCGGATATCCGAGCAGGAGATAAATAAAAGAAGCAGTGTAGCACTGCGTATTTTCATTTTGGAAACATAAAAAAAGAAAGTTAACCAATTTAAAAAGAAAGAAAATAAGAAACATGTCTATGTTTTTCAATTTTGGAAAATAAACAGGTAAACATGTTTTTCAGTTTTCCTTTCTCCAATTTTCCAGTTTTGTGAAAACACAGAAAAAATATTCTTGTTAGTAAACGAGCTCTAATATTTTAAATATTGACCTCAAAACGGAACATACGATCAATATAAACTCAAATGCATGATGGAAAAAATTGTATATGAGTTGTTATTTTATATTAAACTCTCTTCGTCCTGAAATTAACTTACCACTTCCTTATTTGGCAAATTATCTACAACAAAACAGTGCAAAACAGTGCAAAACTGTAAAATTTACCACCTAGCAAATTTATTTCTTTAATATATTTGAAATCCAAGTTGAAGTTAATTCCGGGATGAAGGGAGTATTACTTTTAATAATTAATATTTTATACACAAATTAAGCTGACCTGACTCTTAATCGAGTTATTAGTTATACCTTATGTCAAATAACACTTTACTGAATAAAAATAACAATTTATTTTTATTTTTTGCAAACACACTTTAATCAGAATTAGTTTTTCAAAGACTGATCCCCTCAACTTCTCAAAATCTGCTTCTAGAAGCAATTTGGACCACTTAGAATTATTTGTACACTCTCACCTAAACAATGCAATATCAGCTTCTACTCTTTGAAGGAGTAGAAACAATGTTAAGAAACAAATGCAAACATCCTTTATCATTCTTTGAATCCCACCATCCCGAAACACAATTTCTACTTTTTTGTGAAAAACAAAGTGAGAGTTTGAGACGAAGTTGATCTCACACTCCAAGAATTTGCTAGTTAAGCATATAACCTTGTAAAATTAAAGCTCATTTAATCATACTAAAATTGACTGAATCCAATGAATTTGTTTTAACCGATGAAGTGCTAGCTAAAGTATACTACATATTTAATACTCCCTCCGTCCCGTTGGAATGTTCCTAATTTGACCTACACACATATTAAGGAAATAAACTTACCAGGGGATAAATTTTACTGTTTCGACACTGTTTGGCATTGTTTTGCATTGTTTTGCACTGTTTTGATGTAGGATAACTTTTCATTTAGGGAAAGCGTGAACATTCCAACGAGACGGAGGGAGTATATATTTTATTACTACCTCTGTAACATATATATCTTCCCTTTTAAAAGTAGGTGAGATTAAGAACAGTGAAAGAGATATAAATTATTGAGGGTATCATGAGAAAATAATGAAAAAGTGTGCTAGAATGAAGGATAAATACAAAAAAGTAATTGTAATAGTGCATTATTTTTAAAATTATTGAAGATATGATGAGAAGATTTAGAAATGGTTACAGACAAAAAAGGAAAGTGAAAAGATATGAATGTTACGGAGGAAGTAATTGATTAAAGAAAAATATACAAAGTATATATGAAAATAGCTAAAATGATATTGTAGTCACTTCACTCAATTCAACTTGAAAAGTAACTTTAACCTTCCTTATTTTGATTATTACACGATTCATAATGTAAACATAGAAGTTGGGGTTACCAACTCTTATTATGTCACATTTCTTTTCGTTTTTGATCTTATCGTGATGCAGCCCATTAACCCAGCGAAGGTTGAAGAGTTTACCCTCAACAAGAATATCCTATCTGTCTCAATGAACTTCTGATCCCCTATCCCACCATAGGTGAGAACCTTTGTGAAAATGCACAAATGTGATGATGATGATGAAGGGGTTTAATCTGGAGATTGTTGAATGGGAAAATGAGAAGAAAGTGCAGTGCATCTAGCAGTAGCGAACAAGTTACTATTATATATTGGGTGTTACATAATAAAATGTGTGAACTTATTGGGGGGGGGGGGGGGGGGGGATAAATAGCACATTAACAACACATAAAATGTAAACACCATTTAATTCAAATCTCAATCTAAACAAATGTAACAAACTATTTTCATATTATCATCTGTGGGGCCAAAGGGATCCCTAAACTACAATGTAACTACACCCTCGTAGTAAATTGCACTTTAACTGCCATGTGCTGAATATATTTGGATGAGAGATATGGTTCTAGCTTGGTAGTAACAGTTTCATAGCATTTATAGTATACACACCTACTGGAATTCCGCATGACAGCAGAAAGAGGCAGTTTGATGCACTAGTACCTTCAAGATACTGTTAGTTATCCGGTTATGGATGTCTTGGCTGCGAGATGAGTGAGTGCTTGTTTGTGGTAAGTGAGGCGCAGTTTCTTGTACTTCTGCACAAATGTGGGGAGATCAATTTCTCGATCCAGAAGCTGCTTGTGTAGTGCTTCTGATTCTTCATCCACTTTATTCATTGCCTCTGTCATGAATAGCAAAACACATGTTAATCATGCTTATACATCCTCCCAACAAAGAGAAGATTTGCAAGGAAATTTTACAACCACTAACAAGTGTGCCCAAATCTCATTTGGTCACTTGCCAATATTTTGATCTACTGATTTTTTAGAACTGATTTACGCATGTTTGTCAGTATAAATTTCAAAGGCCCACTTAAATTGATTGTTTTTATTTTCAATAGCTACAAAAGGCTCATTAAAAATTGATTGTTTTTATTTTCCCAGTTCACTTGTTTGGTTTGGAGATTTTTAAGGGAAGAGGTGAAATTGGTTTTGCTAACTTGTAAATACTTTCTAGTGTTACAACAGAAAATATGTCTGCTAAATTAAATGATGTTTTTCTTTATAATGTATACCACTCCTCCCTTTCATCCCATCCAAATTCTCACAACCATACAAGGGATTAAGGATAAGGAGGGAAAGAGAGAGTAAAATACACATACACAGCTCAAACTATTATATAGGGCTATGTGAAGAGTATCTATTTACCTTGAAGTTGAAGGAGAAGAGATTGAGGAGAACAGTACTTCAGGAGCTCTTCTTTCCTCCTTTCTAGTTCATGCAGCTTTTCTTGGGCAGCCGCTAATTCAGTAGTTCGAATTATCCTACACTGTAAACAATAAACACAAATGGTTAACAAGCATTCTTTACAATCAACATTTGCCTGAAAAACATTGACTACAACATTAGACCTGATTTTTGAGCTCCATGATCCTTGGTTCTTTTTCCAGATTCTCTCCTGTACATGAATACAGTTAAAATGTATCTCTATAAAGCACTTTAAATAGGAGTGAAGTGCTCACACTAACAACCAACTTACTAGCAAGCTGCAGAGTTTCATTACGAAGCTCATCCCTTATCTATTGGAAAATTCAAAGATATGAGAAAACAGAAAGTTATCTAACAAATCTGTTCAGATAAACGATTCCAAAATAAACGGAGAGTAGAAATAAAGATGGAGAGTGGAATCCTTTCAACTTTTCTTATTTCTAAATCGTAAACCCTCTTCGTCCAACAAGTTCATCTGCTTAATATTAAAACCATATTAGCAATGAGACTTTTTATGGGACCAATTACATAGAAAAGTGGGAAACAATGGAAAACTGAGATTAAGGTTCAAAGAACATGTGGCCTATGTATCAAAAGCTGAACCACGACCCCAATTTCTTAATTTGGACTATAATGAAACAAGAAATGGAAAGGAAAAAATTTAATTGTTTCTCAGACTAATAATAAAACAATAATACACTAGCATAAAGCATCTACAATATCAGCCTTCAATAACATTATAAGCTCAAAGGATCAATACAATTGCTCATACAAATCAAACTGTACAGAATACATATCATGCCCACGGATGATAGCCCCCCATATGTCACGTCATCTCCATACAAAATTCAAGTATCCTCTCATCCCAAAAAATGCATTAAGGCAACACCTCCTAGTTTAAATAGATGATCTTAATTCTAGAATAAAAACATTTATAACAACCAAAGAAGCATACCAACAAGTAAAAATGGATTCTTCATGTCCAAGATTCGCAACTCACATTGTTTTGAGTTTTGACAGGCTCAAGTGAGAGCAGAAAGTTGTGGTATGCATCCTTGTCAGAGAGCAGCTTTTGAAGTTCATCAACACTATGCAAAACGTTATAAACTCAAGTGTTTTAAGAAACAGAAAGAGAGTAGGCAAAAAATAAATGGGGAGGTTTAAGATAAACAATATGCAAGATTGTTATTTGGAGGCTTGAGAAGATTTGGACAAATATGCTGGACACGCATCAAGAATTAAGAAGAAAACAGCAGATAATTTCCATGAAGATAGACATTAAATGATTCACAATAAAACATAGCCTAATGCTAAATGAGATGCATATACCAGCAACTACCTTTTATCTCTTAGCACATTTATAATGCCAGCAGCTTCTGCTGGAGATACATGTGATGCAGAACTGTGTCCATCAGAAGGTCTCGATACACTAAAGCTGCCAGAGGAGGTTGGACTAGGTGTTGTGGGGCGGGAAGAGCTGGTAGAGCTGATCATAGAGGGTGGATACCATGATTCTGTAGATGCTTCCTGCGGATGTGGTGGACCTTGTTGCTCCTGAGATCCCCTTTATATGTGAACATTTGTTAATGCATTCTTTAAAGTTTAAATTGCTCACATTGCGAAAAAGAAAGAGCAAAATCCAAATTTCAATTTCATACTCCCTCTGTTCCAAATTATTTTTCACACTTTAGTCTACTGTTCCATATTACTTGTTTCACTTCCTTTTTGGATATGGATCTACATGATAACTTCATGTACCAATTAAATAAAACTCCTTCTAGCAAAAATTAAATCTCCAGCTTTCTTTCCCCAACAAAACCTTTCTTAAAATCTGTGCAACCCAGCTCTGAAGCCTCTGAGAAGTAATTTGGAATGAGGAGTTTCAATTAAGTTGGAAAAAGACGAACTTTGGCACAAGCGGTCCCTCTCCTCTAGTTCTATTAGCACAAGCAGACCTCTTCTCTAGCTCTCTATTGGAAACGAGCATAATTTATAGTTTGTTATAAATTAATTAATAGAACTTCGTATGAAAACCTAAAAGCAAGAATAAGAGTACCCTAATTTACACTTCCTCGATTTTTAATCCCATAAATGCAATAATGCATTTGCAGAAACCCAAAAGCAGAATCCTGATTATCGAAGCTCAGTACCATGACACTCACTCGAACCTATCGTAGCTAGAATGCACAAATTAATCACCACAAAAGATGGAATTTTGAATCAGAAGTAAAGCTTAATCGGCAAAATTACCTAAATTTGAACATATCTGAAGAGACTCGCGTCAATCAAGTTGTGATCTATAGAGGCGTCAGTCATAGATTGAAACGAACCAGAAAATAGCCCAAATATTCAACGACCAGAGCCTCTTCTTCGTTTCTCAACAGTCCTGTCAAAAAGAATTCAGGAGGAATGTATGTGATTCTGGAGCAGTGGCGGAACCAGAACTTTTTTCGAGCAGGTGCCGATAAATGTATCAAATAAATACATCATAATAAATTTAGAAAAAAATGCATATGATTGTCTAAATTAAGTGTCTTAAAGCTTAATGTTTTGATATGTTATATTCTAACCATGGATATTTGTCAAACCAAGAGGGTTTACAAGGACCCCTACTTAAGTATTCTTGGCGGACAAGATCTCTACTCAAAAGATCAAAATCATTAATAGGTCTACGTAAACCTGGATCCGCAACCACATCTTCGGGATTTAGTTCAACGTGTAATAGTTTTGTCCTTTTGTTATCTTCGGAAGGACTTTTTGAAGACTTTACATTCAGGTATTAAGAATTTCAACATTCTTAAACTAACAAATTGTACAACAATAAATTCATATATTAATTAGAATTGATTTGTATGTGATCACTACATTCACTATTAAATTAATAAGACAATTTAGTTAAAAAATGTATAATGAATTACCAAAATTTTAATTTAAATTAAAAGGGGAAAAATAGAAAAACTGAGATTCTGAGAACCTACCGATCACAGGGGCGGGAGACGAAAGAACGGCGGTCGGCGAGCTGGAATATGACGGTCCGGTGTGGCGATGCTAATTTCTGAGTTTCTGTGCTTGGTTGCTTCACTGCTTGCGCAAGGCGCAGGGACGAAGAGTCGAAGACTCAAGACTGGAACATAAAAGACCATTGGATTTGGGCTGCAGGCTGCTGGTCATTGGGCCTTCCTTGGCCCGATAGCCCTTTAATTTTTTCCACAGCCTGTTTCAAAAACGGCGTCGTACCTTTTAATAAGGTCTAATTTTTTTTGTACGCTTGCTTTTTCCCTGTCCTCCAGCCGGCAAACAGAGCTGGTAATGGCAGATTTGCAGCTCTCCAACTCTCCAAGAGCTCAACAGTTTGAGGCCTCGACGGAAAATTGCAACCGACTAGTATGGAGGCAGATCCGCCCCGTGCTGGTAATAAAACTGCGGCAGGAGAGCAGGGCGCTGGAAAAGTTTATATATCTAGACTACTCCGGCGAAGGGGGAGCGCCGGCACCGGCTCGCCCCCGGGTCCGCCGCTGTTCTGGAGTAATTGGTAGGACTCACTCCCAAATTGTACAATTCACCTCGTCAACATAAAACATTTTTAATATTTTACTTTATATATCAAAAGTTTATGAAATTTGAATTATCTTTTGCAAGTTTTGTAGCGATTTTAATGTAGTTTCTGAATATATAAATTTTATTTTCTAAAATTAATTTGAGTATTGACAGAGATCAATTTGCTTTATCATTGGTCAAACACTGATGTATCTTACAAATTGGGACGGAGGTAGTATAAATATTCAAAGGAGTAATTATATTTGTACCACATTTCTCACACACAAATGTTTTTTAGTTACACACTTACACTCATTAACTTGTCTCTAATTTAAATTATAAATTACTAAATTTGACTGCTACGGAAAATAATAAAGTGAAACTTATGAAGTTAAAATTGTGTAGATGAGATCAAGGCGGCCTCAAAGAACTCGAGACCTTGGGCAAAAGAGCACTATAAAAATTATACACAAAAATAATAAACAAAATAATCATGTTGATCTAACAAATGATTATAAAGGTTTCAATGTTATTATATATTCTATCAGTTCAAACAAAATTTAATTTCAAAAAAATATTTCAATGTTATAATTACTCTCATAAAATATAAAATACACCCCCTCCATCCCGTAATCAAGTTCCCACTTTTCTTTTTGGGATGATCTATATTAAAAAAGTTCATGTTTCTATTTTAGGAAAGTTTTTGTTTTGTGTTTCCCAATTTGCTCTTCACTTTTAACGCTATCTACCCACTTAACTTAGTACCCTACCCACTTTAACCATTCGCCCCATACCTAGTTATTCCCCAACGCACAATGTCTCTCTATTCACGCTTTATCTTCTTCCCTCCTCTCGAACCATCTTCTGTGTCATCTCTTTGTTAGTTGTTGCCTCCCCTTCCTTCTCCTCACCGACGTGCTCTCTGTTCATTGTTGCCTCCCCTTCCTTCTCCTCACCAGTGTCCTCTCTGTTCGTCGGTGTTTCCTATTTCCTCTATTCGGTCCTAGTCTCTTCTAATGGACAGTTTGGCCGGTGGATCCACTAAAATGCCGTCCTTGGATGGTGGATCCGAACTGCCAACTCCTCACCTAGTGGATCCACCGTCTACCACTATAGTAACGATCATGGTGTCTTCTTCTAGCAGGGGCTCCACATTGAGGTCCAAAAGACCACACGGGTGCTAAGAAGAGGGTGTCCCTTCACTGTCCATTTCTAGAAGAAGACTCTAAAGTAGAAGTAGAAGTTTTTTTTTTGTAAAATATAGGTAGTTGGGTGTATTGAATGTGGTGTTTTATAGTGGTAGGAACCTGAAACTTTTCATTTGTGGCTATAAATTAAATGAACCAAATGCACTTTGTGGTTGTGTGGCTTTGAATAAAACATCCGCATACTTCCTCTCTCTCCTCACTGCATGCGACATAGTTTTTACAATGGGGGGAGGGTAAGCAAGATATATTGAGGGGTATTTTTGAAAAGACAAAAGCAAATACTTTTCTCATAACTATAATAACTAGAATCATTCAAGTTATACAAAATTTAAGGGTGTCTAAATAATGAACTCATTTTTCTATTTAAGGGTGTCTCAAACATTTAATTTAGAAGATATTTATAAATATGTATAAGCTCCAATAGGTGTCAAACACTTTATGGTTCAATGTCATCACTGTAACATAACCAAAGAAGACGTCATGTGGTCGAAACTCATCTTAGTTTAAGGATATCTATATTTATATCTACATCTACATCTACATCTACATCTACATCTACATCTACATCTACATCTACATCTATATCTAGGGAGCGGTTCCGATAAGAACGGACTCCCAGGAGAGAAATGAGAACGAATCTGGATCGTTGGATTGTATTAAGTGCTAATGAATTGTGCATATGGTGAAACTGAAATGTGCATTAGATGATATTGAAATATGCTGAATCAATTTTTTAACTCAAGTGTGCATTAACGAAACTGAAATGTGCGAAATAAAAGGTACAAAAATAACATCACATCGTACCTTTTATTCTGCACATTTCAGTTTCACCTATTGCACATTTCAATTTCACCTAATGTACAATTCAGATGATTCACATAATGTTACTGTATCGTATCATTTGTTCTGCACATTTCAATTTCACCTAATGCACACTACACTTTCATCTAATGCACACTGAATTTCACTTAAAACAAATCTAACGGTGCAGATTCATTTTCATTTCTCTCCTAAGATCATGTTCTTATTTGAACCAAAACCTCTATATCTATATCTATATCTATATCTATATCTATATCTATATCTATATCTATATATCTATATCTATATATTATACAATTGAGAGTCACATTGAAAGTACATATTGACACATGTCACTCTATTATAAACTCATAGTCACGTGTCATTCATTGAATCAATTACCACTAAACATTAATTAAGGACTCTATTAATTTTCCATTACTATTAGACGTTCGTTTTTTACCCGTTAAACAAACCACAAAAACTAGTGGGATAAATATCTGGAAACATTGTCATGTGTCACTCTATTATTTACTATTGTCATGCGTCACTCTATTATCTATTATTAGTCACACCACAATCTTTTCTCATTTTCAAAGTCTAATAACTTTATTACCTTTATTACTATTTCTGTTTAATTATTAAGAATCCGTTTGGTGTCATTTTTTCCGGTTTATCAGGCTTATCAGATAGGTTTTTTTACCTAACAAATAACTTTTTATTTCGCGCGCAGAATTGTGTAATACTCCTACGTAATAAGAAAAAGTAAGGTTGGGTTACTTTGGTGGCTGAATTGATTAAAGTTACTATAGAGAATCATTTGAGCTATTTTTCTTATTATTATTTCATTTATTTATTAATAACAAATATTTTAAACATATGTTTCTCATAAATCATCAGAATTAGCCAATACAACCATTTCAGCCACACCTTTATAAATTTCAGCATAATCAGCCAATTCAGCCAATTTCAATGTTACCAAATGGGCTCTAAGGTGTTTAATACGAAGTATATAGATTTCAATTCATATATAGCTTATTATAATAATTATTAGTCTATGAAAGTTAAGTAACTTACGAAGTGTACCGTTAGTCTGTCACTCCAATAGCTGCCTTATTTGTTAGTTGTTACCCCAATAATTAAGGCCTTAATGATTGCCTCCATATACATTTAGTTTCATATATAGGTTCCGTTTCATACTCCCTCCGTATTTTAAATTTTTTACACTTTATTGTTGGGATGTATTTAAAAATTTGCTACACTTTTCCTTTAATGTGTTAACTACTAAACAAACCCTTAGTTTGTTTATGAAAATAATAATATGCACTTATTATTTATCTCTCCTCAAAGTAATTTCTATTCACATATCGATTTAAATTTCGCTACAAATCCAAACATTGAAGTCATTAAAATAACCTTCATTTGGTTGTTTGATATCGATTTTCTTGCATTAAATGACTAGATTACTAGTTGAAAAGTAATTTCATATCATTTTCGTTATACATTCAAAATGGTTAGTGCTATTAAAAAACATTTTCACAGTTATGTATTATGATTAATTTATAGGTGGTATTTGATATTATGTATTATTTGAAATTGCTTCCCTGAGAAAACATAACAGCATTTTTTGAGATAAGAGGAAAAAAGAAAAGATGAACCTTTTGAGTTTTTGAGACATTAGAACATGCGGAGAATAACCTTTCTCTATTGTTGTATTATCTATCTATGTTGTACTTGGTACATTATCCACAATCTATTCCTGCCGAATGAAAAGATGTCCGAGGTATTCATCCACACCCTCGAGGCCATGATGCGGGTCCAGACCCCTCGTTGCACTCCCAGCCTGTCCGGAATGCAACCAGAGCGCCAAGGTCCTGGCAACAGAGCAAGGGCTTCACCACCTACCAGTCGGTCTTAGTGCTCGGTGTTTGTGCCTTTCGGTCTCTCGACTTCTCAAGTATTATGTTATTGGGATAATACCGCAACATCATCTATTTTCATCAGAAAAGTTTGATCAAAAGCTCTAAGGAGATGAAAAGAAAACACGAATACAAGAAATTGCAGCAGACTAGTACTAGAAATCATGTTCTTAACACGGACAGGTTCACTCATAAAGGCGATACATACAGGAAAACTATATAGTGGATGTGCTAGCTACTATAATCACTTAGCATACACTATCATCCTGATCTGCCTCACAAACTTGCAAGGATGGAGAATTTCAGGAAAGGGGGTGGTGGTCTCCTTTAACACACACTCACAATGAGATGTGACCAAAATGTAATTACTTCAAAAGTGAAAAGTAATACTTTTAAAAAACAGCTTTTTTTAAAAGTATTAATTTATACTCTCAAAGTATTATTATAATACACTTCGATCACGTTTCCCCGTGAAATTGTCTCACATATGTTTTGGTCTTTGGATACATCTCACTCAAGGAATATGTGCAATTTCGTCAACAAACTGCATCTAAGGCTTCAGTCATGATTTGATGAACCCTGCCCTTAAGAGCTATTCTGGACCCCTGAAGAGACACTACGAGAACGCTTT